CCCTGTGTATTATTCACCTCAACGATACAAAAGAAAAAAAAGTATTAAAATATTTGAAAGATAAAAAAAAGGACTAAATTGATTATTTTGAACCAATAGTAAAAAGAGAGAAAAGTGAACAAAACGAAATACAGTTAAGACTCGAAAAGCTTTCCCTACAAATATGTAACGCTACATATTTTACAATCAATAACTAAGAAAATAATAAACATAACGGCAAATGTTGTAAAAAAATATTTGAATGGTAAATGATCGGGAAAGAAATCAACAATATTGAACCAATAGTCAAAGTTAAACAAAACAAACATTACGATTCGAAACTCTTTTCCTACAATTTCGAAAATGACGTCCTCTTTCATGAAAAAGAGAAGCCCCACAGTTCAATATTGTAAATAAAGCAGAATTATTCATATCATTATTTGTCATGTAATTTTATTACAATTATCCTCCTCTTACATAAATTAGCTAAACACTAGCCTGTCGATAAATCTGTAAGCATCTCATAAAACGCCCACCTCCGTGTTAAAAATGCTTTTCTGCGATATTTTAAATTAAATAAGTACCTGTTTCAATTCAGATTAATTAAAATTTAGATCAGCTATTTGTTCTCAAATAACGTGTCAGAAAAATATATTTTTTTTTTCAATTATTGTTTTAATAAAGAAAATTAAGTTGTGTTGTCAGAGTTTTCATATTAGCCTATTTTATCGATTTTACTGATAATCTGGAAAAAACATTATTCCAATCAAATTAAAATTCGTTTTGAAATAGAAGCAATGTATTATCTGTAGTTAATGGTATAGCACGTCAGGCTATATGAGAGTTCCGTGTAGGATACAGGTTCGATTCCTGTCAGAGGAGACATATTTTCTATGAAATTACTCGGACATTCAGGCCGGTAAATGTAATTAATACTGTTTATTATAAACCGAGCATTTACTTAAATATTTGCATGTATAAAAATAAGGGATAAACAGAAAATATATTAAAATAATTCTTATGATACGCTTCGAGCAGATATGATCGTTCGAGAAAAATCCTGGGAAATTTGATGTATAAAAACAATACATATATATAAATATGCTAAAAGGTCGGAATTAGTTTTTATTACATATATATATATATATATATATATATATATATATATATATATATATATATATATATATAGTCATTCACATACAGACTGTTTTGTTGTATCACAGCACTTCGGTGTGACTAGACACGCGATTGCTTCAGCCAGGATCGAAACTCGACCGATTTTAGTCGGAGACACTTACGCCTAGGCTATCGGCACAAGTTACGGAAAAAGGGAATTTTTAACGCATTATATACGTGATATACGCAAAATTGCTCTATTCATTGCGAAGAGTTTAGCAATATATTTTATATATGTTCCGTTAAAGACAACAGACAAGGTACTGCGATTAAGCTTGTTATTTAATTTTTCTTGTGTTTGAACGAGTATTTTCTTTTCTGGACACAAAGGTATGTATAAACTGTCCAAATGTTCTGTAATTCCGAGTGCTTTAGGCTATACATTTAACCATTATCAAGGATGATTTTATTTTTACTTTTTAACCGGATGTATGGGTTGTGTGTAGAGTTATAGGGATGTCAGCACATTCTGGCCATGATCGTAGTTAATATTATTGAGTGTTGGCTTTTTCTTTATTATTACTATTATTTATTACTCTTTATTGAAACATGTATAAATGAGGGATTGCTGCCTTAATAAACATTATATATATATATATATATATATATATATAGATAACTAGACTCGTTTCGAAAAACCCTCGAATTTTTGATTTGCTAATCAAATCAATTTCGAGGGAAAAAAAGGTTTTAAAAAAAGAAAGAGCTACAAACATGAACTTCTGCCGACAAAAAAATCACACAGATGCAGGTCTGAAGCCCAAAGAAAAAAACCCCGATACGAGTAACAACTAACTAATAAAAGAGCTCAATACCTTTTAGAGCAGACCTAGATAACCTAGTGAAAAGACAAACCTAAATAGGTTTCACCTAAACGGATCGTCAGCCAAACTTTCCTGACGATCCGTTTAGGTGAAACCCATTTGTTGGCTCAATTTTATATATATATATATATATATATATATATATATATATATATATATATATATATATATATATAGATAGATAGATATATAGATATATATATATATATATAAAGAGAGAGACAGAGATTTAGATTGTACGAAATCACTAGTTCATACTTTTGTCATACATTGTGGCGAGAGGAAATCGACACTGTTTACATAATTGTTATTATGAAAGGCATAAATACAGAATTTGTAGACGGCGCGTCTGCAAATTCTCTACTTATTCAAAACAAAACAAATAAATGGTGTGTCAGAGTTCTCCTCTTTAAAAAGTCAGTGGAACACTTCGCTTGCCAAAATACTTATCGCTCAGCCTGAATAGTTCAATGAATAATTCATGAACAATAGTCGAACTAGAAACTTAAATTCATTCAGGGCTCAATTAGCTGACCATTCTAACAGCTGTTGCCCCTCCCACATGTTCTTTTATTATTCTCACAAAACGACAAAGAATTTTTGAAAAAATTCATATGAAAGTATTCCTGTAATGAAACAAAGTGATTGCTATCACGAAAGCACACGTATTTTATAGTTATTCTTATTTGTTTTTCTGCTGTTGTTCACATATTAAGTAGTTTTTTTTTTTTTTGGTGGGGGTGTTGCTAGCCCCATTTCCAAAATATCTTAAATTCAGAGTTGCCCTTCTCCTAGACTACTTGCCAACTAAAGCTAAATAGCCAAATCCTATAGTTTACCCTACATTTGGGGAGAAAAGTGAACTCTTACCTTTTACAAGTGCTATTGCGCCAATGTGAATGCAGCGGACTCGATTGTAATTCGAACGCGATTCGCCAATTTCTTGTTCCGAGCAAACTAACCCATCACCGGCGTATTGTATTGTTCTACTATGTTCTATTATATTAATATAATAAATATGCATTTTGTTACTCGCCGTTTAATACAACTCTGAGTTTATAAAAAGTGGATTAAATACGAAAACTAAATGAATAAAGCTGTTTTTAATCCATTATATATATATATATATATATATATATATATATATATATGTATGTGACTTGTGTGTGTGTGTGTGTGTGTAAAGAAATATCGTTTTGTTTATGCAATATTTATGGAATAAAATTTTCAATATCAGAGACAGAGCGTATGTAAATATGAAAGTAAACACTGAAGTCAATTGGATCTTTTCGATAGGCGACAGACTGATTCATGCTAAACGCAATCACCATGCCTGTTGATTTCGTTTAACATGAAACAGTCTGTCGCCTCCTGATTGGCACAATGTTCACTTATATATATATATATATATATATATATATATATATATATATATATATATAATGTTGTAACCTAGGGAAGGTTCTGAATAGAATAATCACACGTTTTTTAGTAAGGAACGATAATGAATGGCGACAAGAACAACACAAATAAGATTCGCCAGCGGCGCGTAGAAGTAGTCAACTGCTAGACGTGAGTCAAGTGAATACCACAATGAATCTCCAACTGCAGACCGCAGAACAACGCATACAATATTCACTACTGTATTTATGTGAATGGGGGCATACCCATTATCGTCCGTATGCTACAATATATATATATATATATATATATATATATATATATGAATAAGCATATTTTCATTCAAGCATGTTTTAGTTAAATAATTTAAACGTATTATAGCTATTAATTTTAGCTTTAATCCTTTTGAGTCCACCAGTTAATTTCTTGGTTGCTCTAAAAAATTGATTAAGAAAAATTCCAAAAATTATAAAAAAAAAAAATAAATACTAATATATCCCCCCCTGTGATCCAAGTAAAAAAATTAAATTAATTATATGCTATACATAATTTAATACGACGAACCTAGTTATCCATAACAACTCTTGTCTGTCAAATATCAATTTAAATGTCCTCAGGGAGATTGCATCTCCGATAAATACGTAAATACGTTTGTTGGTTTTACAACAACGACGATGACGAGGATGCTCACGTTTCATTTGAAAGATCATAGTTCAATCTCAGAACATTTAAATGAACACTGATGTTCACATTTACAGTTTAGACAGATATTAGTCGAAAATACATCAGTGTTCCAAGATAATAATAAGCAACAACTTAAAATTAAAATCCTGAAGCCCTTTATAGACGTGACTTGCGGCCCAAAATAAAGTCAGCTACGAGTATAGTAACAAAGTTCTTAAATGTTTGTAGCAGCAATGTGTTATATAAAAAATACTAAATTAAAATACTGCCATTAAAAAATCTTTTTAAAAAAGTTTTTTAAAAAACCTTTTAAAAAAAGTTTTTTTTTTTTAAATCTTTTAGAAAAGTTTTTAAAAACATCTTTTAGAAAATCACATAAGTTACCTCCCATTTTAAATTTATGGTGTTAACGCATAACACATCCACAGATATGTAAATCCCGAAGATGGTCTCAACATAGAGGCTTACGTTAATTGCCTTGAGGAGGTAGAGTTGCCCTGAGTCAAGAAGGTGGCTAAAATTCTGTAAAATATTAGATTACTTAGAATATTTTCCAAAGATTTAAAGCTTACTGAATAGTTAAAAATTATATAAGACGTTCACATGATTTTACATATATGTCCTCGTAGAAAAAAAAATTCCAAACATAAGTCTATGGAGATATTTGTCAACTCCTCATAAAAAGACTTAACACCATGTCATATTTGGTGTTAGAAGGAGTTTTGTTGGTTTCTCGTTCAACTGCGCCCCACACATAATAATTTCTTTCGTGTTCTTTTACTATATTAACCATCTTTTTCTCCTATTTTTCTCTCTTTTTCTCCTCTCTGATCTTTCTTTCTTTCTTTCTTTTTTCTTTCTTTCTTTCTTTCTTTACTTCTTTCTTTGTGTTCTCTTTTGTCCTCTCTTATATTAACCAACTTTTTCTTCCAGTTATTTTCTATCTTGTTCTTATTCTTTTTTCTCCTTCCTGTTCTTTCTTTCTTTCTTTTTTTTCGCGTTCTCTTTTGTTCTCTCTTATATTAACCATCTTTTTCTCCTTCTATTTTTCTCTCTTTTTCTCCTCTCTGTTCGTTCTTTCTCTCCTTTCTTTCTTTCTTTCTTTCTTTCTTTCTTTCTTTCTTTTTCTAGTCATTATAACCTAATTTGTTTTCTAATTCATTAGACGAGCAATCAAGTTAATCTATTCTCTTTTATTTTCTCTCCCACAAAATCACTGGTATGCTTTGGCACAAAAAATAACCCCAAAGGCATTCGACATTATTCATATCTTATTTTAAACTTATGAATGTTTAAAAAGCAAAGCTTTTTAAAATCGTTTCTCGTTTTCTACTAATCATCATCATACCCTAGAGAGCTGAACAGGCCAGCGACTGTCATTTGGCATCGTAGGTGTATTTTAATAATATAAACAATGCCTCTTCCACATTTCACAAATTACTAAGGTTGATGCTGAAATACCAAAACATAGATTCTTTTTAAAAGCTTGGTGTACAAGAGTTATCTAGCCTCGGTTAAGCTGCACATCAGATAGTTTGGGAAACAGAGTTCTACTTCGTATCAGATCTTAATATACAAGGCGATGTTTTCTTCTTTTTTATATCATTTCACCCCATGCAAGGCGATAATGCCACTAAGACGCTACTAGGAGTAAAAGAGAATGAAAAGACTTTAGCGTGGAGAAAGGATAATAAAAGACCAACATTTAATAAGACAGAAGATTGCTATTGGTGTTTAAAACTTTAAACTTTTGAAGCTCGTAGGTGACAGAGTTGCAAGAAACCAGAAGAGAGTTCAACAGGAGAGAAGTGCGAAAAAAGAAACTATTAGAATATAGCTTACAGTTACATATAGCTACTTTAACAGTAAAACGTTGAGACCTAACAGCCAATCTAGCAGTATGCTTAAATTCATGCGACCGAGATACCAAGGAGAAGAGCTCATTAGAGCAATTGCAAAGAAAAATATTTATAGAAAAGACAGGGGGAAGCCACGTCACGGCGGTGGGAAAGTGACTGAAGTCGAGATACCATTCAGGGCCAATAATATTACAGACCCTTTGAGATGGGATGATGACATTAAGGTTTCGAGGTCGTAGGTTTTTTGTTGGAGTTTCCTTCTCCTCGATTGTCTATCTGACTTGTGGATATTTTCCGCCTCTTCGGAGGGGTACTCAGAAGGTATGGCTGACTTGATTAGATAGAAGCACTCGCCTTGATTCAACTGCAAGTATTTGCAGGCTTTATTTTTATTTAGTTTCTATTATTAACAATACTGGAAACAGTCTGTGGACTTGAGAAACCAAAATATCAATCTGAAAACTCTAGTCATTATCTTCAATAGCCTCGTCAGCTTTCAAACCTGTTCAGAGATATCTAAACTGTCGACTGTATACACAGATATGTACACACACATTCACAAACACTTCTACACTCTGTAATCACAAAAGTACACAAGTGTAGGCTTTAAGAAAGCTCTATTTAACTGTGAATACAGGGTTCGTGTATAGTGTCCTTTTATAGTCCAAGTAAACAGAAATACCTCTCTCAAAGAGGAGAGTAACAAAAAAGGGAGACCACTCTTGATTATTCATAATACGTTGTTTCTTTCAAGTGCCTACTATTGAAATATCGTGACATATAGCTCGTGTCATTTCGTGCTAATGGAACTTTATTATATTTTCTGTGTTCTGTCTCACTGTCTGCAATATAAATAATGTCTTATTATTTGATTAAAACCAAGAAACCGTCCGAGAGAGAACGAGCGAAAAGAGTTTACTCAGGCCGCCGCAAGCTACAAAGGTCACTCCAAATTGTTCTCATTAAAATAGCTACTCATTTTGTGCACTTTGTCATATATCTGTAGATTTTGGCTCTTTATCCGATGTAGGTATCATCTACACCAGTGCTTCTCAAAATGTGGTACGCGAACCATCGTCATTCGGTAGGCGAAGAGTTTCCAGGAAACGGTATTCACATTCTACGCTACGGGAGAATGCTGGGATATCTGATTCGTTTCTTTTTTGTTATTTTTTAATTTTCATTTTAGTTTTTAGAATTCCCTGTTCACAAAATCAATATAAATAAATAATGCAACCTTTACTATATTCATTATAATTTTCTGGTATAATTGAATATTGCTGAGAATGTTCAAATAATATTATCTCGATTCCTTATTATATAATTCTATAGCACAAATATGGTACCGGTGTCTGGCACACTGGGAAGTCTTGTTACGTAAACGATGACCGGCCTTAAAATGAATAAGACATAATATATTATATATATAATGTATTTAGTAAAGATTGTCTCAAAATGACCCTGAAATAGACCAAATCTAAAAAAAAAAAAAAAAAAAAAAGAAGGAAATATTGGTGGGTGGGGATTCATCTCGTCTCCCAAACTCTCCAGCTGGATTAGAAAGCTTCGCTTGTCGATCCCTCACACATTGAGTAAAAAAAACTGCTGGTAAGCCACATCAGATAGTTTGGGAAACAGAGTTCTACTTCGTATCAGATCTTAATATACAAGGCGATGTTTTCTTCTTTTTTATATCATTTCACCCCATGCAAGGCGATAATGCCACTAAGACGCTACTAGGAGTAAAAGAGAATGAAAACACTTTAGCGTGGTGAAAGGATAATAAAAGACCAACATTTAATAAGACAGAAGATTGCTATTGGTGTTTAAAACTTTAAACTTTTGAAGCTCGTAGGTTGCAAGAAACCAGAAGAGAGTTCCACAGAAGAGAAGTGCGAAAAAAGAAACTATTAGAATATAACTTACAGTTGCATATAGCTACTTCAACAGTAAAACGTTGAGACCTAACAGCCAATCTAGCAGTATGCTTAAATTCATGCGACCGAGATACCAAGGAGAAGAGCTCATTAGAGCAATAGCAAGGAAAATATTTATAGAAAAGACAGAAGGAAGCCACGTTACGGCGGTGGGAAAGTGACTGAAGTCGAGATACCAGGTCAGGGCCAATAATATTACAGATCCTTTGAGATGGGATGATGACATTAAGGTTTCGAGGTCGTAGGTTTTTGTTGGAGTTTCCTTCTCCTCGATTGTCTATCTGACTTGTGGATATTTTCCGCCTCTTCGGAGGGGTACTCAGAAGGTATGGCTGACTTGATTAGATAGAAGCACTCGCCTTGATTCAACTGCAAGTATTTGCAGGCTTTATTTTTATTTAGTTTCTATTATTAACAATACTGGAAACAGTCTGTGGACTTGAGAAACCAAAATATTAATCTGAAAACTCTAGTCATTATCTTCAATAGCCTCGTCAGCTTTCAAACCTATCCAGAAATATCTAAACTGTCGGCTGTATACAACTGCTTTCTCATATCAATAATTAAAAATGGTTTCGAGCTAGTGAAACGTATAGCTCTCAGTAAGGATCATTCTTTTTTGAAACTCGTGGACTGGCGCTACACGATCACACGCAAAGATCTGTACTAGATATCAGAGACCGCATCACTTGAGGACTTTTAACCGCAGCAACCGATAAAACGGATATCACGTGTAACCTGAAGAGAAAATAATGACATAATCAAAATGTTGACATTCCACACAACTTCAAACAAAAGGTGAGGAAGGAAACCCCCATCTATACTGGAAAGAGTGGGGACTTCTACTGGATGCTAGAAACCTATTTTCCTGAGAAATTGTTTCAAGAGAAAGATTTTAAAAACTTCAGCGACCATGATACTGGCTGCTCGGTCAATAAATGCCGAATGTTTCTTAATAAGAAAACAGCTAATATTACCATTACAATTACAGCTAAATCTTTATATTAGAATGACCAAATCTACAATCTGACAAGTCTTCTTCTATTTGTTTATGATATTTAGATCTAGCCTTCTGGCCGGGATTGGGTGATCCGTTCAAATTATAGGCCTCCTTCATTCGTGAATATACCATTGGCTTGTACGTTAAAGGCCCATTCATTTGCTCAATGTCCAGCGAATTAACTCTTCGGCCCAGTCATATCTATTTCTGTTCCACTGGGCCAACTTATTGTATTTGTTTCTATAATTATTTGCCTCGTCTCTTAATCAATAAGAGTAAATAGGTTCGCCCATCGCCCAGTTCACACTCCTCTCAGCATTATGAACGAGTAGAGATTTATCCCTTTGTTTCTTGTTTAGGACTGGATTTCCGGTTCCTTCTAAAATCTACTTCAGCTCTTTACTTCTAACGCCTCCGCCTCCAGGCAGTCTGGGAACTAGCGAAAGTAGCTCGTCGGAGCAGTTACCGTGAAAGTATTTGTAGAAAAGACAGAGGGAAGCTACGCCACGTCTGTGAGAGAGCGACTGTAGACGAGATGCCAGATCAGGACCAATTACATTGCATACCCGTCTCTGGATTCTGTCGAGGCCCTTAAGACGAACAACGGGAGCACCAGACCATATATGGCAGCAGTATTCCATGCAAGGAAGAATTATTGATTTATAGATTTAAAGGATGGCGAGAAAAACTTTCTGGCGCGACACAGGGAACCAACTTTCCTTGCGGTAGATGTAGCTATTGATTCAATATATTTGTTCCATACAAATCAACCATTCGCCCTTGCATGGAGTATTGCTGCCATATATGGTCTGGGGCACCTTCTGTTTACCTCGGAGTTCTTGACAAGATCCAGAGACGGATATGGCCCTGATCTGGCGTCTCGTCTACAGTCACTCTCTCACAGACGCGCCGTCGCCTCTCTCTGTCTTTTCTACAAATACTTTCATGGTAATTGCTCCGATGAGCTGCTTTCACTGGTTCCCAGACTCCATGAATTCAATCGCCCTACGAGGCTGGCATCCCGCTCCCACCCTTACACTGTAGAAACTTTTAAATGTAGCCGTCTCTTCTACTCCAATAGCTTCAGACTTCGCACCTCTGGGACACCCTTCCCAATTACTGTTTCCTTGAGAGCTATAATCTACAACTATTCAAATGTAATGTCAATCGACACCTCCAGTTACCTTGATCTACCCACTATCCCTCTCCTCATCCTTTCTTCTATCACTCTTATCTGCTCTTGCTCCAAATCTTCTGCAACCCCCTGCATCCTAGTGGCTTCACGCCTTGCTCGGGGCGTCATGCTTAAAAAAAAAATCTCAGGTCAGCAGACAGTGTGAGACCAAGCA